ACATCTGTGTATGTCTTTAGTTCACATAACCTAAAATACAATAAAAATTTCAAAAAAAATTGTAAAGTTATTTTATCTAAGAAGAAAGAAACCACTAGATATAAATATACAGATTTACTAGAATAGAAAATGTCTAGTACCTGCTGCCCTGGGAACTACTGTGAAAGTACGTGTTGGGCCCGGATCCTTTATTGACTGAGCCAGCGGCTGCGACTGCTCTAAATTTAAGGATCCTACAATTAGAGAAACATGTTATCCTGGGATATGAAAACCTTGGTTTGTGTGGTTAAGACGCAAGGTCCACACCAGGCCAATAAATGCTCATGAAAACCTCACAGCTTGACTGCCCAGAAAACTAAACAAAGAAACGCCAAAGGGGTCGACACCAATGTGGATCGATAGGCAACTAGGGAACAAAGCGTGGTCTCGGGTTCCAGGTCCGCTTCCCCGGCCGAGACCCCAACCCTCGGTCCCCCGTTCCAGGGCTCATCAGCCGAGCTCCGAGGCTCTGGGGTTCTTGAGCGGAGGGACGGCCGCGGAGCGGGCGGTCAGGACCCCCCAGACCCGGCTGCAGCGACCGGCTGCCCCGCGCCCCGCACTCAGTCTCCGCCCTCCGCCCGCGGGCCTAGCGCGGACGCTTCCCGCAGCTCCCGGGGGCCTCGCTACCGCTCAGCCCGACCCCGCGTGGACTCTGGCCTTTAACTCACCCCCGCCGGACAAGATGTAGAACTGGAAAAGGAAGAGCAGCACCCGGCAGAAGCGGCACAGAGCCTGCAGCATGACCGCCGCAGCCGCCATGTCGCCGGCGCGCACATCCGGGCCGCGAGGCGGGACTAGGCAAAGGGGCGGGGCCCCGGCGCGCGCCGTAGGGGCGTGTGCAGGCGCGTCCGCGGGGAGCCCAGGGCGCAGGCGCTTGGCCGGCTCCGCGTGGGGTCTCCATCTCTATGTGGATGGGTATGTATGTTTAGAGGTTAAAAACTGCTCGGTACTCTGCGAAGGTGTTGATGACGTATTTGATTGCATACCGAAAAGGTACTTATTTGCAAATGAAGAAACTGTGGCACACACCCCGTAGGGGAAGTGAGACCCCACGCCAAGGTGTGACAGGCAGCCCCAAAGGACGCCACCATTTCCTGCGTTGCTGACCTGATCAGTGCCCAGCTAGCATCTCTCTGTGGTCAGCTTTGGGTTCACCTCTAGCCAACTCTTTAAAAAAAAGACACTTCCAGAAAGTTCCTTTGAGATTGGGAGAGGGCAGTAAATATACCTGGCAAGTATTCAGGTCCAGAAGTACTGGGACAAGAACCCGGGGATGTGAAAGGGGGGGGTCCAAAGCATGGGTCCCTCCCTGGAGAAGGCCAGCCTTGGGGAAGGGAGCTGCACCCCGGGGCCTCCGGCTCCCTGTGTGCTCAGATGGCAGACTGCACCTATTTTTGTCACAGCATACTTTCTCCTGTGTTGTTGACTTGCGTTCCTCCTTCCCACCCACCTGCCACAAGATTCTTTTGGGGGCCTTCTGACTCCCCACTCCTTCACTAGCAGTTTTGATGAATGAAAAGAATATACCGACTGGTGCCTGGCACACAATAAGGCCCCAATAAATATTTCCTTAAAAATTACATCACACAATTTGCACCTCTTAGTACTATATAGGTCTGATCTATAATACAGTTTTGTTTACTAACTGTTCAGGATGCTAAATAATAAAGGTGTTGAGAAAAGAGAGCATGTCTTAAATTTATTTTGAATTCCACAGTATCTAGCCAGATAACACCCAATAAATACTTCTTGATTGGTAGCTAAATTCTCTACTGGCGTAAAGCTATTTCAACTCGGTTCTGAGCAGTAAGGCATTCCTCTCAGTTAAAATCAGAAATCCATTTGAATTGTGAAACTGAATAAAGGAAACCTCATTTAAGATGGAGCCAGGAGGGCGCCTGGGTGGCTCAGTTGGTTAAGCGACTGCCTTCGGCTCAGGTCATGATCCTGGAGTCCCAGGATCGAGTCCCACATCGGGTTCCCTGCTCAGCAGGGAGTCTGCTTCTCCCTCCGACCCTCTTCCCTCTCGTGCTGTCATCTCTCATTCTCTCTCTCTCTCAAAAATAAATAAATAAATAAAATCTTTAAAAAAAAAAAAAAAAAAGATGGAGCCAGGAGGCCAGAAGGGGGAGCTCTCATGCCCTACCACTCCTAATGGACTACAGAATGGTACTCCAAGAGAGGCACCTTGCATTCCCAACAGGAAGAACCTATACTTTATTACCCCGGCAAAAAGAAGAAAGATTTTCTCTTTGCCTGGGGACGGTCCAGCCAACAAGAAACTGTCACAATCCAGCCAATGAAAAGCCGCTACACTTCAACTCCCAGTTTACTCCAGTGGACTTTTTGTTTATAACAGCCCTTCCAAACTCCCTCCTGCCCCCTTTATAAAAAAGCAGCCCCCTCTCCTTTGTTCTCCAGACTTGTCTATGGTTTTGTGATAGCTTACACATGTCAAATTAAAATTATCTGCTATTCCCAAATGAATCCATTTTTGCTGGTAAAATAACGGACAGTTTTATTTTTAAGGTTAACAGAGTCTGTAAATCAGTAGAATGTCATCTCATGAAAAAAGTAATTTAACTCTAGGGGAGCAGCTTACTATGGTATAAGCCCATAGCTGAAATACTGGAAACACTGTGTGTTGTCTTTTATTTAGGAATTTATTTTTTCTACAGATGAACAGTTGTCAATTAGAAGCATTAAAACAGCAACTCTTAACCTACACTGCAAACAACAGTAGATTCCACAATACTGAATCTGAGGTCCCGAGTCCTTTGTCAATAATCCAGTATTTAGTACTAGTCGCTTCTTTTGTGGCTGTTGGTTAGTTAAAACAAATTAAGCGACGATTCCAATTTTGGAGATAACATTTCAGTGTGAACTTTAGTAAAACAATCATAAAAATACCTGAGATGTATTGTCCTAGAAAATAAGATTTTCCCCTTATATTGAGAAAAGCTTTGCAGGTTTTAATTTGAGGTCTATCTTTTGAAAACCACAATCTCAGCAATAACCTCTCCAAATCTTCAAATCGTAGTACTTCCCTCTTTCAATAAATAACATTTCCCCCTTAAGTCTTTCAAGGCATTTGGGAAATTAAAAATCTCCCAAGCTTGTCCTCGTGTTCTCTTCAGACACATTAATGAACTAAACTTTTTATATCAGCTACTCATTGTCTCCTTTCTCACTGTGCCCATCAGTGAGTCAAAAGTTCTTAGAAGTACTAGCGATAAAGAAAAATGCATTTTTAGGGGTCAAAACAAGGCTACATAGAAGCAAGTACAAGGAAGAACTTCAAAAGTCTTCCTCAGCATTCAGTGTACGTGATTTCTTGAGATTCTTCAACTTATCAATGGCAGAAGTTACAGAAATCTCTCCATGAATTTTGTTGTCTCTTGTTCGAACATTTACAGCATTATTTGTCTTTTCCTTTTCTCCAACCACTGTGGAAAAGAAAGGGTAATAAACATATCTTAAATAAACGATTTACTAAATATTAAGTCAACAGTCATGACACATGTGTTATTGAGTTCTTCTTCAGTATTAATCACTTATTATCAGTCTAATGGCCATGAAGTCATCCTCTGATAGCAAGTTTCTTGAGAGAAGGAATGACTTCTAATCCCCTCTTCCTTACTGTCCACTTGCACAAACACATATTGTAGTCTTGGGGCACAAACTGGAGCAGGGAGAAAGATCTCCCTGACTCCATATGGCATATGGCATATGGGTATGACAGACCCCTGACTCCATATGGCAATATGGGTAGGCACCAGACCCATGCCCAACCAATCAAAATTTTCTGGAATGTACGTAGAAAGTTTCTCTCTAGTGCCCCTTATGTGGGATGATGCAGCAATCTGCAGGCTTGTTTCTTGCCATGTGGAAGGAAGAAATTGGTCACCAGGTAAGGGGAATAAAGTAGATATTCAAGAGAAGCACAAAGAACCAGAGCAAAGTAGGAGCTAGAAATGAGGAGAAACAGTCCTGATAAGGGTTGAGCAGCTTGCTCCAGTTACTCTTCTAATACTCTTCTAATTTAATTCTACCTTCTGTGTCAGGAGATACTCCATTACCCTTCCAATAAATTCCATCTTTATCTAAGTCAATGTGAGAGTTCTGTCACCAGAAGGAGCCTGATTGAAACATCACAGTATCTACTACACAGTCAAATACTTTCAATGACAAAATGCGGATAGGACAACCCTATGCATATTTATTTTACCTCCTACAGAATCATTCAACTTACTGGAGATAACAATATCATGCCTGGAGGCATCCAGGATCAGCTTCTCTTAATTTCTGAATCATTTTAAAGTCAAAATTTTAGATACTGCATCCAAGTACTCATATGTCTTAAGGACACTTTTTCACTTAAATTCTTTTCTTTTGATCACCTTAAAGTTGGCATCTTTCCCACTGATTAACTTAATCCCGAAGATTAATAATAAATCAGAAAAGCAAGGGAGAATATTTGAGGCCTGTCACATGACTGAAACATAAAGAGCATAATTCTACCGATGAAATCATTTTCACATTTTTTTCCTTGTTGGTTTGAGATATTGAATACTGCTAGTGATACTAACCCACAGGATTCACGTGAGGTTTTATAACTCTTCTTCTAGCAAATAACAAAGAGTATTTAAGAACAACTAACCAGGAACACCATGGACTGTTCTTTGTGTACAGGTAATAAACTGTCATAATCACACAGCTATACCATATTCATGTAGTTACACCATTCACCACTCACATAGTTATACCATACTCATGTAGTTTGTACTATATTTCAGATATGCAGATAGACCAGTTTTTGGAATTAAAGTGAAAAAAAAAACAAGCATTTGAGAAAATGTAAACTTAAGTTACCCAAAATAAAATTATACTGAGCCAGCTGCGCATTTCGTATTTTCTTATTTAGTGTACAGCTATGATCTAAGTCAACGTCGGCCATGAACCCTTCTTCAAAAAATGTACTGGACACCTACAAGAAAACAAAACACTTTCATTATGACGATATTTATGGTAGCCAGCCTCTGAGATGACCCACAGGGTATTCACACCTTGTGTCGTCTCCGCCACATCGTACCAGGTGGCTCTAGGTGACCACAGAGGAGGGCAGAAGTGATGGCAAGTCACTTCTGAGATGAAGCTAGAAGACTACAGCTTCCACGTCTTTAACATCACTCCCTCTGGGGAAACCAGCTGCCACGTTGGGAGGGATATTCAGGGAACCTCTGAAAAAGTGCACGGGGTACAGAACTGAGGCCTCCAACAACGAAGTGAGTGAGCCCACAGAAGGCAGCCGTGGCCGGCGGTGCAATCAGAGGCTTTTGAGGGGCCCTGAGCCAGCAGCGCCCAGCCTTGCTGCTCCCAGATTCTGACTCGCAGACACTGTGACATAATAAATGCTGTGGTCTCAGGTTGCTGAGTTTTGGAGTTATCTGTTATACAGCAATAGACAAGTATTCTTCCAAATAGAGCCATATGGAAAAGAGTAACTTGTAAGTATGAGATGTTTTAAAATCCCCATTTCTCAAAAACATTAAGAAATAAAATAGTTCTGATCCAGCTACACAGACGTGACTCAGATGTTACTCTCAATTACTGAAAATGTGGGTTGCTAAAGTAACATATTAGTTATGCAATATTTTAAGGCACAAATAACATTCCAAGTCAGTAACCTTCACAGATGACATGCCGAGATTATTATGTACTTTTCTATCTCTGATTTTACCTGAAGTGCGTATTTTTCACAAGTTGGCCCCACAGGGATGACCATTACCTGACGAGGAGAGAGCCAGAAAGGCCTGAAAAATATATAAAATATGTATTTTCAGAATCTGATGATGATCATGTATTATGTGATTTAAAATATAGCCGAAGATTTTTTTAAAGTAAGACTTCACAAGAAAGCAGATTCAGCAGAGTGGTGTGGAAGTAAACCAAACCATATTGAGAGCTAAAAAGCAACAGGGCAGACAAAAGAGGAAGCTGGGAATTACGGGAGGAAAGGGAGGGAAGAACAGGTCAGCTGCTGGGTCACACCACTGGGCAACTGCATTCCTGGGTATTTACCCCAGAGAAATGAAAACATGTTCACAAAGAAACCTTCCCACTAATGTTCATAGCAGCTTTATTTATAATAGCCCCAAACTGGAAACACTCCAAATGTCTTTCAATGGATGAATGATCAAACTGGTGCATCCACACCATGGAACACTATCAGCAATAAAAGGGGACCGACCACTGAGACTTGAAACGAGTTGGACGGATCTCAGTGGAATTCCGAGTGATTAAAGCCAATCCCGCACAATTGTACAGCGTGTGATTCCATTTATGTAACATTCTTGAAATGACAAAATTATGGAGATGGAGAACAGATGAGTGGCTGTCAGAGGAGGATGATGGGGGTGGGGTAGGAGGTGTGTGACAATAAAATGGTAGCACAAGGAGTCCTCATAAGTAACAGAACTGTCCTCTATCTTAACTGATGGTGGGTACACAGGTGATCAAATTTTATAGAACTCAACACACACATACACACGAGTGCATGTGAACTGGTGAGACCTAAATAAGGTTGGCAGATTGTATCAAAAATTTTCTGGTCATGATATTGTATAGAGTTTTGTAAGATGCTGCCATTGAGGAAAAGTGAGTGAAGAGTATGCTGGACCTTTCTCGATGATTTCTTACCACTACATGTGAATGTACAATTATCTCAAAATGAAATTAAAAAAAAAAAAGATGGGAAGTTGGGTATAAGCAATGTTTAATGTGGGAAATATTTCTTCATCAGTACTTTGTCTGAAAGGTGAAAGGAAATGCCGTGGGAACTACTACCTGGTGGCACCTTATGAACATTTAGATATTTATTCTTAAATTACAAAAGCAAAATAACGCATATGATAGAAGTAATAAAATGTATAATAAAACACAGGAATACAGTGGATAAAGTGAAAAGTAAGCATTTCCTTTTGAGCTCTGTCCTCACCCCATCCCCAGGGGAGCCACATTTTAACAATTTCTATTTTGAGCTCTTGGGGAGGTGTCCACCGAAACTCTGGCAGGTGTCTGAACTCTGGGTCAATGGATTGCACAGCCTGTGCCCTAAGTCTGCACGGTGAGGGACAGCCCATGGAGTGCACAGCACCATCTCCTGTCTCCCACTCCATCTCCTGATTCCACTAGTTCTTTTTAGTTTTTCTAGCACATTCACTGCCACCACTCTCGGGCGAGACACCACCATCTCTTACCTACATTAAACTATTTAAAACAGAATCAACCAGAAAGAGATGTCAATGTGTTAACTCATACTTAGGTAGCGTGCATGTTCTTTTGGCTTATCTGTGTAACTTTTAACAACTTGGACACCCCATGATACCTAAGTACATTTCTCTAAGATCACAAATAAAACTTCAGGGATGTACACAGACTCTAGCTACCCAGGACGTCTTAAAGACCCTCTGCTGGGGGAATTTCCCACCTTGTAGTGCCTGCTGAGAAATTTGCTTTCCCCAGCTGCCCTAGACATGTTCGAGTGCAGGCACATGATCTGGCATGTACAAGCATGGTGCACGGATTTGGGACAGAGTAGCACCTGGGGGAGGTACTACATAGAATCAATTCTGGCAGGGGTGGTGCGGAGACATGGAGCTCTGGGGGAGACCTTTGGGTCAACAATGGGAGCACCCCAGGGTCAACAATGGGAGCTGCAGGGACTGTACCCAGCGACAGCAGCACAGAACTAAATCAGAACTAAACTGCATGAGCAGATCTCAATTTCTTCAAAATGAGATGGGAGACAAAGATGTCACATGTGATTGCTGGGCTGCAGCATTTCCACCTCCATTGGATGTGCCATCACAAGATGGATCATCTGCCACCTGATGTCTTGACTGCCAGTAAGGCCGGTTGCTTCTGGGGGCACAGTAATACTAGCAAATCCCACAATGTCAGCTCAGCACCTTCCTTCTTTTGCTAAAAAAAAAAAAAAATTACTTCCATGGTCAGAAGCATTATCGTGTTTCCGACCATTGAAGCTCAGTAAGTATTTACACGGTGCTGTTGACAGATGCATGGGAGGAAGGAAGAGCTAAGCAAATTCCAGAACTGATATCTTCTCCAGTGAGGACAAGTCACTGGCCCTTGCATGATGAGAAAGACCCAGAAAGCTGACTGTTCCCCAGGATTATGGTTCCATAGGAGGGACCACGACTGAACCCTACTGATGGCAGACTGAGGCCTCAGAAGAGGCATAGCCAGAAGGAACTTGGGGAGGCCCATGTTGTTGAGCCCGTAACCCCGAGTGGCCACTTTGTTCATGAACCACGGAGCAGCCACTGGGGGAAGAATGAAGCTGATGGTAACCACAGAATGGGTCCTCCTGTATTTGAATCTTTAAAAACACCCAAAAGTGAGGGTTTGGGGTGGGTGACGTCACCTTCATGGCCCATTTTGAGTGATAATCCATGTTCCTCCCCCTCATATCTACTTGTCATCTATTTTCCAATCTAATTACTTCTAGGTCTCTGACCTTGTGGCCAAAGCAGTCACCAGAGCCCAGGCATGGCTGTAACTCTGTATGTCTGGTCATTTTTCCTTCTAAGGAAAGAGGACTATGAGATGTACTCAAATTCCTGCACTCGGGGGCATTTCCCTTCCACACTTCTCCCCTAAGTGGTACTGTAGCTGTCCGCATTAGGTTTGCCAAAGTATTGTTCAGAGCCATTTGTGAACCAGGTTCATGTGTTTTTCTCCCCATGACGACTGGGCACCCCCAGGAGGTGAAAACAAGGGTTGAAGGAGGGATGGCTGTTCAGCAAGGGGTTGAACCGTACTCACAGGGTCACCAGATGCAACTAGATCTTTAAAGGACTTGAAATAGGTAAAAAGATAACTCTTCAATTCTACCGCATTCCCCAAAAGGTAAATGATAGTTTTAGGTTGTGCTGCTTTTGTCTTCTTTGTTTTGGTTTCCTGACCTGGCAGATTCAACAAGAACTGATTACTTGCTATTTGGATACTTGCTAATTATAAGGCAAGAGCTACCAATTTTTTCGCAGTAATCCTATCTTGTTCAAAATGTTCAAAATGATAGACATACAGCTTTTCTTTTCCATATCACTTACCATTTCCCCCCATAGTTTTCTGAGAGGATGGCTATCATTCTTTCCACTGACCCCAAAATGGCTCGATGAATGATGACAGGGTTCCTTTTATCATCTCCATCCTTACTAAAAAATGAAAATTATATATTTATGTATTCTCTTAAGATTCAGTAATAACTTTATCTTCTTGCCTTCTATTTAAAAGTTATTTTCCTGAACTAGGAAAAACAAGATTCCTTATAAATCATCTTTAAGCATATAATGTGCTATGTATTAGAAATAATAATACAAACCGAGGGAAAATGAAATATGTAGCAAAACGCAAGGAAATATTAGAACACTATTTCTACTGTAAGTGTACTGATTATCTTTGATTCTAAACTATTGGCTGCGATCAGTTTACTAATACTGATGGGCAATCTTGCAAATCATAATTTTTTAAAAATTAACTTTATTTTGAACTATGGCTTACTTTGCCAGTACTATGTGGAACAACTGTCAGACACTGAAGAAATAAAGAAAATGGATTTGTTTCTAAATTCTCATTTTCTCGGGGTACCTGAGTGGTGCAGTCAGTTGAGGAACTGACTCTTGGTTTCGGCTCAGTTGATGATCTCGGGGTGTTGGGAATGGAGCCCCAGGTCAGGCACTGTGCTCAGCGGGAAGCCTGCTTGAGATTCTCTCTCCCTGTCCTTCTGCTGCCCCCACCCCCGCACTCTCTCTGTCTCTAAAATAAATAAATCTTAAAAAAATAGATTTTTAAATTCTCATTTTCTCATAAACACTAAAGATGAATCATGGGATGAATTGTTTTGTGAGTTATAAAGATAGAAAATGAAATTTAAAAAAAACTTGTACTGCTGTCTATATATAGTATACACACACACACATATATATACAGTAAACAAATATATAAAGACATATTAAGAAAATTAACTCCTTTTCTAATGTGGGAAATTGAAAATACTTCTTCCAAGCACATTTATTTACTTGTCCTTTGCCTGTTTTGGTACTATCTTTTCTATCATAAATTTTTAATTTTGGACAAGTCAAGGCTGTTTTTTTTTTATTTTTATTTATTAGAGAGAGAGAGAGACAGCAAGAGAGAGCATGAGCAGAGTGGAGGGAAACGACAGAGAGAGAGAAACAGACTTCCCACCAAACAGGGAGTCCCCATGTGGGGCTCGATCCCAGTACCCCAAGATCATGACCTGAGCTGAAGGCAGATGCTTAACCAACTGAGTCACCCACGCACCCAAAGCTGTCTTTTTCTTTATGAGTTTTAACAGTAATGTTATATAGAGAAAGAACCTTCTCCAACATAATAGAGATATTCAATATATTTTCTTCTACTACTTTGGATTTTTAAAAATTCCAGTGTAGTTAACATACAGTGTTATATTAGTTTCAGGCTTACAATATAGTGATTCAATAATTCCATATATTACTCAGTGCTCATCATGACAAGTGTACTCTTAATCCCCTTCACCTGTTCACCCATCCCCCCACCCACCACCCCTCTGGTAACCATCTGTTTGTTCTCTAATAATTAAGAGTCTGTTTTTTGGTTTGTCTCTTTTTCTTCCTTTGTTCATTTGTTTTGTTTCCACATATGAGTGAAATCATATGGTATTTGTCTTTCTCTGACTGGCTTATTTTGCTTAGCATTATACTCTCCAGCTATATCCAGGTTGTTGCAAATGGCAAGATCTCATTCCCTTTTATGGCTGAGTAATATTCCATTGTAATATATATACCACATCTTCTTCATCCATTCATCTATTGATGGACAACTGGGCTGCTTCCATAGTTTGGCTATTGCAAGTAATTCTGCAATAAACATAGGGGTGCATATAACCTTTCGAATTAGTGTTTTTGTATTCTTTGGGTAAATACCCAGTAGCACACTTACTGGATCAAAGGATAGTCCTATTTTTAATTTTTTGAGGACCTCCATACTGCCTTCCAGAGTGGCTGCACCAGTTTGCATTCCTACCAACAGTGGAGGAGTGTCCCCTTTCTCCACATCCCCATCGTTTGTTGATTTTAGCCATTCTGACAGGTGTGAGGTGACACCTCATTGTGATTTTGATTTGCATTTCCCTAATGGTGAGTGATATTTAGCATCTTTTCAGGTGTCTGTTGGCCATATGGATGGCTTCTTTGGAGAAATGTCTGTTCATGTCTGCCCATTTTTAATTGGATTATTTGTGTTTTTTTGTATTGAGTTGTATAAGTTCTTTATATATTTTGGATACTAACCCTTTATCGGATGTGTCATTTGCAAATATCTTCTCCCAGTCAGTAGCTTGTCTTTTAGTTTTGTTGATTGTTTCCTTCACTATGAAAAAACTTTTTATTTTGATGTAGTCCCAATAGATCATTTTTGCTTTTGTTTTCCTTGCCTTGGAAGACATATCTAGAAAGATGTTGTTATGGCCAATGTCAGAAAAACTACTGCCTGTGTTCTCTCCTAGGATTTTTATGGTTTCATGTCTCACATTTAGGTCCTTAAGTGATTTGGAGTTTATATTTCTGTATGGTGTAAGAAAGTGGTCCAATTTCATTCTTTGGCAGGTAGCCGTCCAGTTTTCTCAACACCATTTGTTGAAGAGATTGTCCTTTTCCCATTGCATATCTTTGCCTCCTTTGTCAAAGATTAATTGACCATGTAATTGTGGGTTTATTTCTGGGATTTCTATTCTGTTCCACTGATCTGTGTGTCTATTTTTGTGCCAATACCATACTGTTCTGATTACTCCAGCTTTGTAATATAACTTAAAATCTGGATTTGTGATGCCTTCAGCTTTGTTTTTATTTTTCAAGATTGCTTTGGCTATTCAGCGTCGTTTGTGGTTCCATACAAATTTTAGGATTGTTTGTTCTAGCTCTGTGAAAAATGCTGCTGGTATTTTGATAGGGATTGCATTCAGTGTGCAGATTGCCTTGGGTAATATGGACATTTTAACATTTGTTCTTCCACTCCATGAGCATGATATGTCTTTCCATTTGTTTGTGTTGCCTTCAATTTCTTTCATCAATGTTTCATAGTTTTCAGAGTACAGGTGTTTCACCTTCTTTGTTAAGTTTATTCCTAGGTATTTTATTATTTTTGGTGTAACTACAGACGGAATTGTCTTCTTAATTTCTCTTTCTGCTGCTTCATTATTGATGTACAGAAAGGCAACAGATTTCTGTACATTGATATTGTATCCTGTGACCTTACTGAATTCATTTTTCAGTTCTAGTAATGTTTTGGTGGTCTTTAGGGTTTTCTCTAGGTAGTATCATGTCAGCACTACTCTAATGAATTTTTATAAAAAATAGTTTATCCAGCTATAACTAATTTTTATATCTAGTATGCAATCTAGAATTTCACATTTTCCCTCCAAATGGACAGCCCAGCCAATTGTCCCACTGTCATTTATTGAACCTGCCCCTTCCCCACAGGTTTGAAATGTCTCATTTCCCATGTACTATATCCTCACATAAGTCTATATCTGGACGGTATTGCTTCATTCATATATAGCACTATTTTTTATTTTAAAAATTTAACATGTACAATTTGTGGTGAAGACTCTTTAAAACATTTATATCTACTTTCTTTTTTTTTAAGATTTTCTTTATTTATTTGACAGAGAGAGATAGTGAGAGCAGGCACACAAGCAGGGGGAGTGGGCGAGGGAGAAGCAGACTTCCCATGGAGCAGCGAGCCCGATGGAGGGCTCAGTCCCAGGACCCTGGGATCATGACCTGAGCCGAAGGCAGACACTTAACTGACTGAGCCACCCAGACATCCCTATGTCTACTTTCCAGAATAATTTTTTAAAATTGTGTTAAGAAATACAATATTACCAGTACTTTAAAAACCTCTCATGTACCCCTCCTTCAGTCATATTCCCCTTCCTCCCATCACCCATCATTGCTTTTCTTGGGGGTTTTACTACCACTGAGTTTCTTAGAAAACCAACGAGCAACACACACTGTGTAGCTGTGTAATGCTGGGACCACCAGTGGTGAGGGAAGACTCCTTAAAGAAGAAGCCCTAACGAGTTTAGAATGAAGTACTAAACTCTTTGGTTTCCCTGAGACTTTACAGGAGCCCCTTCCATGGGAGTCAGCATGAGTCCAGGGGAACACAGGTTCACCATGGTCCAGGCACCTGGCAGCAACTGGTGTGGACCAGGTTCAGGTCATCCCACAGTAGGGCAGTTAGGGAAGTGGCCATCGGTACTCTCTGCTTCTAAGATCTTCAGCAATCTCTAAATCTGAAGAGGTGGGGGCAGAGCAGAGTGCCTTGGGTTCTTCTCACAGTGCTTTGATTACAGATTTAAATGCGTATTTTTGGATATCTCTCCTATGAACCTTATTTCTTTGGTTTTGGGACTGTCTTGTTTTCTTAAAACAAAGACGGCTCTGTTTGCTAATTTCTGTTCTTTTATTTTTAAAATGTTTTATTAGAGAACATGAAACATATAGAAAAGTAAAGAGACTAGTATAATGAACTCCCACATAACCCTCTCTCAGCTTCACCCAAATGTCAACTCACAGCTAATTTTATTTGATCTGAATGCAACCCATTCCTGACACTACCCACTGCTTCCATTGTAAGCCTCATGAAAATGTTCCTGATATTTGTTCCTAAAGTCCACTGGTCAAATTCCTTAAATAGACATGAAACTTTGATGACATGTACCTTACACTTAATGATTCCCTCCTTCCCTTCCAAAAAAAGATGGAAAAAACAAATTATGACTGTTAATTGTAATGAAGTGAGTCACCCCAAGATCTGTGCATAATTTTCTCAGAAACATAAATTTCACATTATTGCAATAAATGTTATATGCTATGCTTACAAATTTCTTATGAGACATTTGTATCTAAAAATTATATTAGCTAGCTACTACTAAACTACATACATATAAGGCAAACAAACAAATAAAAACAGAGAAATCCATTCATTAAATTCACTTCAAACATTAAAATTGGATATCATCATTGCCAATCATTTCTGCTAAGAGCCATTACAACCTGACTGCAGGCCAAATCCTATCTAGATCCCACAGAAAGCTCTGGGGTGGGGGTAGGTAGCTGAGTCCAGTCCTGCTCAGATATACAAAAAAATA